TAGATTTATATATTTATCTTAGTAAATTAACATCATTTACCATAATTAATATATTAACTAATATATGGTCTGGAGCAATAGCACAGCAGATAGGGAGTTTGCCTTGCACACAGCCGACCTGGGTTCGATTCCTCTATCCCTCTCGGAGAGCCCAGCAAGCTATCAAACGTATCCCACCCACACAACAGATCCTGGCAAACTCCCCGTTTTTGTAATGCCAAAAATAGTAACAACAAGTCTCACAATGGAGACATTGCTGGTGCCCACTCGAGCAAATTGATGAACAATGGGAGGACAGTGCTACAGTGCTACAGTGATATGAGCCAATTATATATTATAAACATATACTTTATATATTGTATATATGTACATATGTAAAAGAAACTTGGGTCACGTACTTAAGATATTATTAAATGGGGGCTGAAGTGATAGCACAGTGGGTAGGGCGTTTACTTTGCACGCGGCCGACCCGAGTTAGATTCCCAGCATCCCATATGGTCCCCTGAGCTACCGCCAGAAGTAATTCCTGAGTACAGAGCCAAGAGTAACCACTGTGCATCGCCAGGTGTAACCCAAAAAGCCAAAAAAATAATTAATTATCACTGTCACTGTCCTCCTGTTCTACATCGATTTGCTCGAGCGGGCCCAGTAACGTCTCCATTGGAGACTTTGTTGTTACTGTGTTTGGCATATCAAATACATCACAGGTAGCTTGCCAGGCTCTGCCGTGCAGGCGAGAGACTCTCGGTAGCTTGCCGGGCTCTCTGAGAGGAGCAGAGGAATCGAACTTGGGTCGGCCATGTTGGCTGCATGCAAGGCAAAAGCCCTACCACTGTGCTATCGCTCCAGCCCATTAATTAGTTAATTAAAATAAAATATTATTAAATGTGTTTGGATAAATGGAATTTAATTCATACAATAGGACACAGTAAAATACTATCCACGATGGACCATTTAAGTGAGTCTAAAAGAGTTTAGAAATATAATTAATTATAAGTCTAAAATGGGAGGTACCATTACACCAGCATAGGTGGGAATGTGGAGAAATTGGAAGCTGTTGGTGGGAATGTAAAAAGTTTTGCATCTTTCAAATGATACTTGGGTGTCAAAAAATTGAAATCAGAATTCCCCTACACTGAGCCATTCCACCTCTTGATATAGATTCAAAACAATTAAAAACATGGTATTAAAAAGATAGCACAGTGGGTAGGGCGTTTGCCTTGCACGTAGCCAACCCGGGTTCGATTCCCAGCATCCCATATAGTCCCCTGAGCACCCCAGGAGTAACTCCTGAGTGCAGAGCCAGGAGTAACCCCTGTGCATCGTCAGGTGTGACCCAAAAAGCAAAAAATAATAATAAAAAAAATGAAAAAGTAAAAAGTATCTGCAGAGCCATGTTTAGAACAACTTGATGTACAAGAGCTTCAACAAGAGCAAAAACCACCCATAATTATCAGCCAATAACTGGATAAGCGAAATGTAGTATTATATATAGTGAAATGTTATTCAGTTTTAAGAAGAAAAAAAGTTTGAGACATGTTGCAGTATGAATCAACTCTAAGAACATTATGCTATTAATAAAATAGTTCAATCACAAAAAGATGACTATAATTCCACTTATGTAAGGTACCTAGAGAAATCAAGACCATAGAGAAATAAAGTATAATGATGATTACCAGGGATTGGGGGATGGAAAGAATGGGAAATTATTGTTTAATAGAAAACAGATTTACTAGATTCAAAAGCTCAGAAAAAGTGTGGTGATGATGGCTTCCCAAAAATGTTAATGTACTGTGCCAGAGTAGTAGGGCACTTACCTTGCATGCAGCCAACCTGTATTTAATCTTTTGCACCACATATAATCCCCCCAAGGACCACTAGGAGTGATCCCTGAGCACAGAGCCATGAGTAATCCCTGATTTCAGGTGTGGCCCCCCCAAAAAAAAATTTAAAAAACAATATTAATGAGATAAAGAAACTATGGTACATCTACACAATGGAATACTATGCAGCCACCAGGAAAAATGAAGCCATGAAATGTGCTTATAAATGGGTGGACATGGAGAGTATCATGCTGAGTGAAATGAGTCAGAGAGACAAGGACAGACATAGACTTATTGTTCTCATTTGTGGAATACAAAAAATATATATAGCATGAGACTAATACCTAAGCACAATATAAATGAGGGCTTGGGGATTGGTCCATGGTTGGCCACGAGTCTGGGGGGAGGGGGGATTGGGGACAGTTAGAATAAAGAAGGGACCACTATGCCAATGATAGTTGAAAATAATCACTCTGGACAAGAACTGAGAGCTGAAAGGAGGTAAAGGGACATACATGATAACCATTAATTATCTGTATTGCAAACCATAATGCCCAAAAGGAAAGAGAAAGACAGAGACAGCGACAGAGAAGAAAAGTACCTGCTACAAAGACAGGTTGAGGAGGGTGGTGGTGGGAGGAAAAATGGGGATATTGATGGCAGGAAGTGTGCACTGGTGAAGGGATAGGTGTTGGAACATTGTGTGACTATCTGACTGAAACCCAATCATGAACAAGTTACATGATCCACCATCATGTAACCATGTAACTCGTGGTAATTCAGTTAAAAAAAATTCAAAACGGAACTCAGAGGTAGGGGGCGGGGAAACAATGTTAATGGCTCCATGGTAAGTTTATAGTACTGGTGATGGTGATGAGAGTGGTGCCTGGGACCAGGCTGGGAGGTACTGGGGATCAAACTCAACCTCTCACACAAGCAAGGACCGGACTCCACCACTGAGCTTACATCCTTAGTCCTAAGGTGGTGAAAACATCATGGTAGGTGCTTTTTAGTTCAAGACAAAGTGAGACTGTTAAAAGTTATTTTGGAATAAAACCCAAAGTAAACTTGCAAATAAAAGTAATCAAGTTTATTAGAGATTGCAGTTGGAAAAGGAAAGCGAAGATAAACTATGAATACCACTTCATCCCGATGACCACTCTCTAGGATTTGGTGGAAGCAGGGGTCACTGGGCAATCCCATCCAACGATGACACTTCCTTCACTCGGGTCTGAGTTCAGAGTGGCAGCAACTTGCATTGGCGCCTCTGGAAACCGTAGCACTGCTAGCTGCCTCTCTCGCCCTCTGCGTTCATGTCTGCAGCCTGGGGGGTGTGTTTACTTGGTAGCTGCTTCATGCTCTGACTGTTGCCAGGCGCAAGAATCCAGACAGCATTGACCCAATCCCAGTGGAGAGCCCTGGGAACGCTCCTCATGTGTTATCTATCTCTCACAATCTGTGCCCATCACACTCACTTCCTTTCTTTTGGAGTTCTCATTTCTTCTTCCTATTTGGTTATAATCCATCCTCACCATCCTCCCCCAACACACACATACACTTTAATTAGATGTCAGTGCATTTTTCCCCTGATCTACAAAGCATATTTTTTCTTCTTTCCTCAACTAGTAATCTATTTAAATAGCCATAGTAAATTTACTTCTAATATTTCTAGCAATGTCATTTTGTATGAGCACAGTAAGAGACATATTGAGCTTAAAATTTGGTTCTTCCTGGGGACATCTCACTATATATTCCAGACCAAATTCTCAGACCAGGTTAGTCTTCCTAACTCCAGCAGGGTCCTTATTTAGTTACCTCCTTTAGGTCATGACAGAGTTTGTCCATGACTGTGCTCTTAACTTATAGTTAAGTATTTATTATGTCATTTGTCCTGGCCCATTTTGATGCCAGGGTAGCTCACAGCTTGCCCTGGGTCCATCAGTCCCTCGTCGGGACCCTGTTCTTAGAGTGCTAGCATCTAAGGGCAACTGAGGCTTAAGTCAAGTAAATACGAATGCCCAGGAATAAATATTGTTTTGGAGTCAATTAACTCCCCTCCCATGTTATATAGCATATCATCAATTTTCTCCCTGTGTCTATATAAAAAATAGATAAGTGGATAAATAAACCATACATATTACATAAAGGAAAGAGAAAAGCAATATAGAATTATTAGTTATGCCTCGGTTGCACTGTTGTAGGAGTGGCTCAATCAACTGTAAGCTCCCTGTGGGAGCAGCAAATACAACCCAGTGTTATCCAACACCACCTGGCAAAAATGAGATAATCGCCTTAAAGAGTAACATGCTTGCCCTCAGAAAAGAAGACAGTTTCTGAAAAATATCTATGAAACAGAAATTTTTTAAGAGAAGTGGTAGCTATTCATAATCAAATCCTGATCCTGAGAGTACCCTGATTGCATTTGATAGTAGTGAATGAAATGACATCGGATTTCTTCATCTTTACAGGTGAAGCTTTTAATGAAAGTACAGAGCTTGGATTGTTCAATCATTAAAACTATCACCAGAGGAAGTGGAGAAACAACTCAAAGAGATAGAGTTCAAAAATCACCACCGTGTGCAACTCAGAAGCAAGATTTAAAACCACTAGGGTTTGGTTTGCTGTGGGTTTAGGTTTTGTGGGACATCAGACCTATGTTTTATCCAAATTATTAGGTCCAATGTTTTTTGAAGAGATCAGAAAGCTTACACTCATAGATCTCAGTCACTGTTGGGCTTCAATCCCTAATTGTCTGGCTGTTTTTCATCCTTTCTCTAGGTGATATCCACCAGATCAGGAACAGTGACAGAGCTGCCCCCTCGCTAACAAGGCGGGGCCTTGAAGGCAGAGCCAACATGGTTTTCATTCTGGTTTCCATCAACTACCAGCTGCAATCGTGAATCAGTAACACTTTCTCTCTGAGCCACAGAGAGGCTGTAAAATAAAAACATTAAAGTTTCTCCATGTGGTTATTCTGAGAATTAAATTGGGTTGTAAAGCCCCTAACTCATAATTGATACCCATAAATATAAATTCTTTACTGCTATTTCCCGATCTAGAAATGCAGTCGGGTAGAATTGTTCTGGGTCCCTAACTGCCAGCAAATGAAATATTAGGTGTGTTTAGTGCCAAGCATACACCTAGAGCTGGCACCTTTGAGATCTTTTTAAAAATTTTTTTCATTGATGAATTCTCGCTCTACCATCAATATGCACAACAGTCACACATGGATCCAATTTCAAATATATGGGGAATTTCTGGAACTGAGAATCATTTCCCATCTCTTAGTGTCATCTTTCCCAAGAGAAACAATGTTCAATTGAGAAGTTTTAAATGGTCTTTGAGGTGCCTGTCTACCCCCGTGGTCCCATCATGGAGGCAGGCACAGGTGACAAAGTGATGTTGATGCGAATGGATCAGTCGCTCAAGACATTTGATGATTTCATAGTCTGGAAGAGCCAGGCTCGTCACGTTCAAGCCCAGCATCTGAGAAACCACCTCCTTGAAGTCTACCAGCTGAAATGGCAAACAGAAACATTAACTGAGAGAATTGATACCCATAATGTAAATATGAGAGCATATATGCATATGTAAACAAGTTTTTAAAAAGTAATACTGCCTACTGCTATGTCAAATGCAACAACAAAAGCCCATGGAAAATCTAAGCCACAAGTCCAGGTGGTGTGAGGACAGCAAATAACTTGTTCTCTTTAACCTTTGAGCTCTAATTAACAAAGTAAGAATGCTACATTACTAAATTCACTCTGAAGTCCTTCCAGGGACCAAACTTCAGCAATTTCACAACCACATAGGAGTCAATAATGTGGCATTGGCTATCCTGTCAAAACTCCCAGTTGAGTAACAGGAATGAGACCAACTCACTCAGACTCCATTTTCTCATTTTTCAGGTTTGAGGCTATTCTGATATTCAGATCTGTTATCGGTACTATACATTGCAATACTCCTAACTGATCAAGACGTGCTGGCAATGGGGATAGAGAGAGGTAAAGAGAGAGAAAAAGAGGGAGAGAGGGAGGGAGAAAGAGGTGAGAAAGAGAAACTTAAGTTATTTATTTAAAAAAAGCAACCAAGTGCCAATAAATGAAACTGACAGGCATATAAAAGACAAAGTAAAATTTAAAACTTGTCTTTGGGGATGGTGGGAGGGATACTGGGATCACTGGTGGTGGATAATGGGCACTTGTGGAGGGATGGGTACTGAATCATTGTATAACTGAAACATAAGAACGGAAGTTTGTAAGTCTGTTACTGTACCTCATGGTGATTCATTAAAAAAAATTTTTTTAAATAGGAAACTAACACCCAAGAATGGCAGAGATTAGTACCAGGAATTTTACTCAATGACCTGGAGGCCAACCACACATGTTAGGGGAAAAGGGAGCTCAGAAAGAGAAGGGAACACCAAACAAAGGGTGTTGGGAGGATCCTCCCAGGATGGGAGAAGCATGCTGAAAGTAGACTATCGACTAAACATGATTGCCACTCAATTCCTCTTTTGCAAACCACAGCACTCAAAAGGAGAGAGAGGGAAATTCCCTGCCACAGAGGCAGGGTGGGATGGGGGCTGGGGGGTGGGAGGGATACTGGAATCCGTGGTGGTGGGAAATGCGTACTGGTGGAGGGATGGGTGTTTGATAATTGTATAATTGAAACCCAAGCACAAAAATGTGTAAGTCTGGAAAAAAAATAAAATAAAATGTTTTTTAGTGGGGAAAAAAAAAGCCATGGATATTGAGATCCGTTGTGGTGAAAAATGGGCACTGGTGGAGGGATGGGTACTTGATCGTTGTATAATTGAAACCCAAGCACAAAAATTTGTATGTCTACAACTGTACCTCATGGTGTTTCACTAATAAAAATTTTTTTAAAAAATTTTTTAAACTTGACAATGAGGGCTGGAGAAAGAGCTGAAAGGATTGGAGCACAAAAACCCCAGATTCAACCCAGTCTCACCAGGGAACAACCTCTCAGCACCTCTGGAAAAGTGGCCAAAAAACAAACAAAAAGTTCTGGTTCTGCTGAGAGGTCCTAACTAAACTTCATTAAAGGAGGTAGTCCTGATAATGGACATCAGATTGTACTTAATATAGATGCCAAATTAAGCCAATGAAATGCTTCTAGACTCCCCACGGTGGTCCTGGTGCATCCTCTGGGTTTTGACAGAAGTCCCTGAAGACATTCACCTAAGAAGTGTCCCACTTTCTCCTTGAATAGGACAGTCAACAGGAAGCTCTCTGGATCACAGTTGGGCCCCAGCTGAGTTCAGTCTCCTGAATCTTACCAAATAGGATATTGGTAAGATTTCCCCCTTCTATTGCCAATTCAACTGTGTGATTATACTGTTGCCGTGTGGATTCCCTCCACCAAATACATTCACACCGTGATTCATGCATTTGGCTGGAGCTGTAAGTGAAACCTCTCTACTTCAAGGGAAGTTAGAACTTTAGAACTGGACCTCGTGATACAAGATCAAATGAAATGATAATTCTGTAAGTGCTCTGTGTACTAGGAGTTCTTAACAAAGTTACCAAGTGGACAAGGATTGTGGTTCCACAATAGAGAATTTGCCTGGAATACGTGAGACCTTGATTCAACCATCGGCACTAGCAAAAAATAAAATGAGTTGGTGTGATCTGTGTGTATAATAAGCATCTATGTGGTGGAATTTTTACTTGGAATGAATCTCTTAAAATAAAGAAGCACAAAATGCAAGAATGTTAAGCAAACAAAAATAAGAGGACTTTGGGGGCTGGAGCAATAGTACATTTGTCTTGCATGTGGCTGGTCGGTCCAGGTTGAATTCCTGCACCCCATAATTTCTTCCAAGTCCTACCAGGAGTGAACTATGAGTACAGAGCCAGGAGTAAGTCCTGAGCACTGCTGAGTGTGACCCAAAATCAAAAACAAAAACAAAAAGAGGATTTTTAAATGATGACAAGATCATACAGCTGGCCTCTCAAAATCCATCACTCAGGATGCTCTGGGACCACTTTGTCCACTCTAAAAGGAAACTCCAGAGGTAGAGATAGGCTCAGGACAATGGTTTCAGTGTGCCCCATGATGCTTCAAATTCTTCTGGATAAAGTAGAAACAGAGAAAATAGATAAAGAACCGAAAGTGATGGCTTCTCAGTATCTGTGTTGCGAACCATAACATCCAAAAGTAGAGAAAGAGTATGTGGGAAATTGTCTGCCATGGAGGCAGGAGTAGGGTGGGAAAGAGGGGATATTCTGGGGATATTGGTGGTGGGGAATGTGCACTGGTGGAGGGATGGGTGTTTGGTCATTGTGTGATTGTAACCCAAACATGAAAGCTTGTAACTGTATCTCACGATGATTCGATAAAATAAAATTTAAAAATCACTATCACGGGGCTGGAGAGATAGCACAGCAGGTAGGGCATTTGCCTTGCATGCAGCCTACCCGGGTTCGATTCCCAGCATGCCATAGGGTCACCCCAAGCACGGCCAGGATTAATTCCTGAGTGCAGAGCCAGGAGTAACCCCTGTGCATTGCTGGGTGTGACCCAAAAAAGCAAATAAATAAATAAATAAATATAAATAAAAAATATGTGAGGCTGTTTCACTCGGGGTGCCCCAGAGTGGGGACGGGTGAGATCCTTCCCCACCCCAAGGGATCCCACCTGGCAGCCAAAATCCTTCAGAACTCAATCGCCACCATGCTCAAGGCCGCTCCCTACATGCTAGGGCCCAGACTCACCCACAAATGAACCTTTTCCTGCAGCTGTGTGACATTTCATAGCACACAGCCTAACCATACTCCAATAGTACCGCACCACTTTTGATGGAAATCAAAGTAGGAGGCCACCGACCTTAGAGGGAATGGTCACGGTCACGGTCACGGTCCTCCCGTTGTTCATCGATTTTCTCGAGTGGGCCCAGTAATGTCTCCATCGTGAGACTTGTTGTTACTGTGTTTGGCATATAGAATACGTCACAGGGAACTTGCCAGGCTTTGCTGTGTGGGCGAGATACTCTAGGTAGCTTGCCGGGCTCTCCGAGAGGGGCGGAGGAATCGAACTCGGGTCGGCCATGTTGGCTGCTTGCAAGGCAAACACCCTACCCACTGTGCTATCACTCCAGCCCCTTAGAGGGAAATATTATATTATTTTGGTTCTGTTTGAGGGCAGGGATTGGGATATGGGATGGAAAAAACCCTAAATATGGTGGTGGGAAGGTGTATGGTGGTGGGATTGGTGTTTGAATATTAAACATAGTCAAACATTGTAATCTATTTTATAAAATAAATTTTTTAAAAATTTGTGATCTATTATGAAGACAGTCATTATGCCCAGGTGATTCAGGGTCTGCACATTCCCACTGTCTGCTCATGAGCTTCCTTGCTGTTCTGAGTGCCACCTAGGAAACACGGTGCTCTTTTTTCTCTTTTTTTTTTCTTTTTGCTTTATGGGTCACACCCAGCAATGCACAGGGGTTACTCCTGGTTCATGAACTCAGGAATTACTCCTGGTGGTGCTCAGGGGCCCATATGGGACTCTGGGAATCGAACCTGGGTTGGCTGAGTGCAAGACAAACGCCCTACCTGCTGTGCTATCGCTGCAGCCCCAACACAGCGCTCTCTTCCACCTCATCTCTCTGAGGAAAACATTTCCCTCCATTTTTCTGCCCTTTTGAATAGAACCAGAGCTCTTAATCCTGAAAGAGTTCCCTTCAAGAATGCTGACTCTTCTAGTTTGATCTTCCTCAACCCAGTCTGACACATGAGCCAGACCAGATACAGTTGAAGGGGGGGGGGGGGCGGGAATCTGAAGATGAGAGTCCTCTCTGTGCCCTTTTGAGTTTGAGAAAGGGTGAGATGAAAAACTGAAAGCAAGGGGGTCAAGATACCCGGACAAAATTTTTATGCCTGACCTCCTGATGAGCTCACCAGATAACCACCAGAAGGCCAATGAGTACCGTTTTATGGTTTCCATCTGGACTTGGTTGACCATCAAGTCTCAGTGCCACTGTTTGAGATTTGACACAATTCCCTGCAAGTGATCTGGCCCAGAGATAGTATTGCCCTCCAGAGATCAATGCCCTGATGAAAGTCAGCAGATCTGGAACTATGCAAACGGTAGGGAACTCAGCGAACAATCCCAGAGCCTGGTTTTCCACCAGTGTGCTATGGCTTTGATAAGAATGCCTCCTCTTAGGATCCTCCCAGGAGGGGAAATGCATGTTGAAAGTAGACTATGGACTGAACATGTCTGCCACTCAATGCCTCTTTTGCAGACCACAATACCCAAAAGGAGAGAGAGAACAAAGGGGAATGCCCTGCTACAGAGGCAGTGTGGGAGGGGAGGTGGGGGGAAATGGGCACTGGTGGAGGGATGGGTATTTGATCATTGTATGACCGAAACCCAAGCACAAAGATTTGTAAATCTACAACTGTACCTCATGGTGTGTCACTAATAAAAAAAAATAAAAAAATAAAAAAATAAAAAAATAAAAGAATGCCTCCTCTTGCCAGCCGCACACTCCAGGGGTAAAGACAGCTCAGATAGAGAAGGGAGCACCAAATAAAGGGTGCTGGGAAGATCTGCCCAGGATGGAAGATGCATGCTGAAAGTAGACTATAGACCAAACATGAGTGCCACCCAATGCCTCTTTTGCAAACCACAGCACCCAAAAGGAGAGAGAGAACAAAAGGGAGTACCCTGCCACAGAGGCAGGGTGGGATGGTGGGATGGGGGGGGAGGGATACTGGGATTGGTAGGGGTGGAGAATGGGCACTGGATGTGGGATGGGTACTTGATCACTGTATAACTGAAACCCAAGCACAAAAATTTGTAAGTCTACAACTGTATCTCATGGTGTTTCACTAATAAAAAAATAAAAAAAGAATGCCTCCTCTTCTAGGGAGTTAAAGAGATAGAACAGTAAGTAGGGCACCTGACTTTCATGCGGCTGACCCAGGTTCGATCCCTGGCAACCCATATGTTTCCCCAAGCACCACCAGGAGTAAATCCTGAGTCCAGAGCCAGAAGCAACCCCTGAACATTGCCCGACATGTGGCCCAAAAACAAAACAAACAAATGAATACCTTTTATTTCCTACAGTTTACACCATAAAATATGTGAATTTTTTATTTGAATAAATCACTGTAGTGATTTTCAAGCCAAAAGAATGCTAGAGAACATGCAGTTAGGTCGAAAGGAAGAGAACATTTTAGAAATTGTCAATAAAGAAGTATGAATAATTGTCAGGTATGCAAATTGTCCTTATTTGCCCTGAATAAGATTTTATTCACCTGATGTCTCCTCACCTGCTTTTCTCTCTTTTCTGCTTCTTCCAGAGATTTTTTCAGGGTCTTCATTTCACTGTTGACCCCTTGCATCATCTTCCTGGCCTTCTCTTTATCCTCCTTTGCCTCATGCTCGGTGCTATTCAACTCTGACTTCACTGATAACAGCTTCTTCTCAGCTTTCTCCTTCATCTTCTCCAGCTTGTCTTTGCATTTATTCAGGTCTTCAATGGCTTTGGTCTGTTCCAAAGTTTTAATCTAAGGAGTCAAGAGAATACTGATGGATCCTTTTGTGTTTATGTTGAAAAAGTGGATCAAGAAGACAAAGTAGAAGTCAATGACAGTCTCTTAACAACTTTGTATAAAATAAATGGAACGCATACCATATTTACCCATAAACATATTTTACCAAGCATATATGCTGGACAAACATCTCAAGATAATTCAAGTTGGTGAATCACCTAAATTCCCTTATAGGGAAAGCTAATGAGATTTTGAGAAAAAAGAAAAATGAAAAAAGATGGAAGGACACAACAATAAAACAGCAAGTAGGGTGCTTGCCTTGCACAATTTTCCTAGGTTTGATCCCTGAGCAACACCAGGAGTGATACTTGTTCGCAGAGTCATGAGTTAGCCCTGAGCACCACTGGAGGAAGAGGATGAGAAGGAGGAGGAAGAAGAGGAGGAGGAGGTGGTGGTGGAGGAGGAGGAGGAGGAGGAGGAGGAGGAGGAGGAGAAATCAGAAGAAGAGTAAGAAGGAGAAAGAATAGGAAGAGGAAAAGGAGAAGGAGGAGGAAGACAAAGAGAAGGAGAAGGTAGAAGAAAAAGGAGGAAGAGGAAGATAAAGAGCAGAAGGAAGAGGAGGAGGAAGAAAAAGAGGAGGGGGGTGGCATGATTGTGGGATAAAATATTAAAAATAAAGTCTGCTGCCAGAGACTGGAGAGTAGAATGTAGGATGCTTGCCTTACATGTGGCCAACCCAGGTTTAATCCCTGCCATCCCATATGGTCCCCTGATTACTGTCAGGAGTAAGTCCTGAGAGTTCAGAGCTAAGAGTAACTCCTGACCATAGCCAGCTGGGTGACCTATAAACAAGTAAACAAAATAACCCCACAAGATCTATTACTTTCAGAGAGACTCTAATGAGTTCCAGACGCCATAGCTATTTGTACTTTTTACCCCTCTGAATAGGTCATCCCTAATATAGACACAGTAAAAAGAACAAAATACCTCCCATGATTTAACCATAAGAAAGTCCCACCTAAAAGTAACCTGTCAAGTGAAGGGAGCACTATTTCAGAAGCGATGTCTTCTGACCTGACCAATGAGTGTGAGAGTGAGGAGTAGGCACCACACTCTACTGTTGTCAAAGAAAAGAGGGTGGCTCCCTAAGGAATGCTATTAGGATCTTAAAGCCAAAGCACATAGCATCCTAGAGTTTGAAGTGCATTTTATTAGCTCAGCACAGATAATTACTCCACATTCTGCATGCAGAGCATGAGTACTCTTGCTTAGCATGTGAGAGGCCCAGGTTTGCAGGTTTGATCACTGGCATGGTTTCACACACAAACACACACACAAACACACACACACACAGTACCACCATAAATTAACTCCCAAGCAGCACCAGGAGAATTTCCTGACCACTGAGTAAAGAGGATCCCAAAAACAAAGAGAAAAGAAAATGAAGGGAAGGGAAGGGAAGGGAAGGGAAGGGAAGGGAAGGGAAGGGAAGGGAAGGGAAGGGAAGGGAAGGGAAGGGAAGGGAAGGGAAGGGAAGAAAAAAGCAAGTGCTAGTTATGACGTGGGGGACAGAACTCATGTGTTATTGCTGTTGAGAATGCAAAAGAAAGAAGTTTCTGTGGAAAGTCTGGCAGTTTTCAAAATGTCAGACATAGAATTCATTTACAGCCCAGTAATTCCACTACTAGGTATATCTAGCCAAGAGAAATGAGGAGAAACTAAAGAGATAACACTGTGATTAGGGTGCTTGTCTTGCACATAGCTGACCTGAATTCAAACTCCATACCACTATATGGTTCCCCAAGCTGACCAGAAATGACCTCTGAGCACAGAGCCAGGAGTAATCCCTGAGCACTGCCAAGTGTGACCCAAAAACAAGAGAAAGAGAGGGAAATGAAAATACGCGATTATGTAAAACTTTCTACATAAAAATGTTCAAGGCACATTTTCATAATAACCAAAAAGTGAAAACATGTATCAGTTGATGAGCAGATCTATAAAATAGGGTACAATGGAATATTATTTGGTGATAAGCAGAATTAATGCACTGAAACCTCCTTCAAAAGAAATGAACCAAGAAAACATCATGCCAAGGGAAAGAAGTATTTCTTAGTGTCTGCTCCTACTTCTGGAATGTCTATTCCCATTCTGTAAAGATCCAGAAAAGGTCAGAGCCTAGTGAGGGAAGAATACAGGGCTAGGATGCTAATGTATACCTGGATTCTTATGAGGGTGATGAAAATGGTCAGAAATAAGATAGTGGCCGTGTTATTCCACTCTGCAAATACACTAAGCACCATTAAACTCTACCTTTAAAGGATTTAGATTTGGGGTATATAAATAATGTATTAAAATTTTTGTTATTCAAAAGAACTTTTACAAAGAAGCCAATCAAAAACATTGAAATTCATTATTTCCTTCCTAGCTTTATTTAAACACCATGGTTTATACATGTTCATAATACATTTGCTTTCGGCATTCGATATTAATCCTACCATCAGTGTGATCTTCACTCCACCATTAAGCATCAAAATTCTTATCTTTGAAGTAAATAAGGATGTATGAAAAGTATAAGCAAATAAATCCAGGAGAGTGTTTGAATACACTTCTGGTCTTCCTTTCTACCAGTTCAGGCAAGGATTAGTCAAGTTCTTCTTTTCAAAATAAAAAAGTCTAATTCAAGGTTTTCAATGTTGAAAATCTAAAACATATATGTTAAAAAAATTAAAATGACCTCCACTACCCAGCCGCCACCATACTCCAGGATGCTTTCTGGACCACACGGCTGCAAAGCGGCCACGCCACACATCATAAGACACTTAATACCCATATTCCATTGCTGCACCATATTTGATAGGGTTCAAATATGGTTTGAACCATGGAAACACCTACAAGGGCAATTAGAGGCAGCCCCAAAAGCCTCTATCCCTCTCAGCGAGCCTGGCAAACTACCAAGAGTATTCCACCCGCACGGCAGAGCCTGGCAAGCTATCCGTGGCATATTCGATATGGCAAAACCAGTAATAAACTAATCAACTATACTAAATATTAAATGATTGATATCTTCTCCCCTCCTTTTTGCCCACCCTTTTCCCAAAGAGAGGGGGATGCGAATCTCGAATTGTGTTTTAGTCCAATTCTATTGTTTAGACCTGTTTCAGGAGAACTCAGGGAGAAAGAACGTCTGAGAGACTAACTTAATTTACATGATAAAGAGCTGAGAGAGAAACAAAATAATTAATTCATATCACCTAAGCTGCAGAAACTTGTGTGTGTGCGCACACACACAAGTACTGGTTGAACGTGCACATGCACGAGCGCTTAAAATAATATGGTTATGCTAAAAGTAGACTATAGATCAAACATGATTGCCACTCAATGCCTCTTTTGCAAACCACAGGACCCAAAAGGAGAGAGAGAACAAAAGGGAATGCCCTTCCACAGAGGTAGGGTGGGATGGGGGGAAGGGGGAATGGGAGGGATACTGGGACTGGTGGTGGTGGAGAATGGGCACTGGTGGAGGGATGGGTACTCGATCATTGTATAACCAAAACCCAAGCACAACAACCTGTAAGTCTACAACTATACCTCATGGTGTTTCACTAATACAAAATTTTTAAAAAGAGAGAAAAAATAAAAGAATATGGTTACAATTAGTGTTGATATTAAAAGTTACTTCACCTACACTATCACCAAAGTACCAAAGATCCTCCATCTCTATTCTCATGATTCTTCTATTTCTTTTAAAACTTTCTCTTTTTAACACGATCAATATTATTGTTGGGCAACTATCGCCCGATCTGCCTATTGTCTGTCATCTACAAGTTGTTCACTTGAGTCATCCTAAATAGGATTGGCAGAACACTAGATGAAGGACAACCATGCGAGCAAGCCGGGTTCCGTAAAGGATTCAGCACCATCGACCATATCCACATGATAACCAAGCTCATTGAGGTTTCTCGGGAATTCAAGATGCTGCTCTGTCTAATGTTCATTGATTTAAAGGAGATCTTTGATTCTGTTGAGACTGAAGCGGTCATCGAGGCCCTAGCCAAACAGGGCATTCAAAGTCAATACATCAGGATCCTCCGTGAGCTGTATTGTGGATTCAATACCAGGATCTCACCATTCTACAAAGAAGTAATCATTGATGTCAAGAGAGAACATCATCATGCGACGACTGGAATGGGAAGGAATGGGAGTGAAGATAGATGGTCGGCAACTACACCACCTCCGCTTTGCTGATGACATTGTTTTAATAACACCAAACATCAGCCAAGCGGCACAAATGCTGGCCGACTTTGACCGTGAGTGTGGAAAGGTAGGACTACAGCTGAATCTTACGAAGACAATGTTTATGAGAAACAGCCTCGTTCCTGATGCCCCATTCACTCTCAACGGAACAACCATCTCCGAATGCAACAGCTATGTGTACCTAGGTCGAGAGGTCAACATGACAAATGACCTGGCACCCGAGCTGCGCAGGAGGAAGAGAGCGGCTTGGAATGCCTTCAGGAACGTCAAAGAAATAGCTAAGAGGACGAAGAACCTCCGGCTCCGGGCACATCTCTTTGATTCCACTGTTCTTCCTGCATTAACATATGCCTCAGAGACCTGGGCCCTACGCAAACAAGATGAGAACGCTATTCAGGTCTCCCAAAGAAGAATAGAAAGAGCTATGCTTGGAATATCACGCTTCACTCAAATGAGAGAAAGAATCCGGAGTTCTGACATCCGTCGATGATCAAGAATCAGGGACGCTGTCTCATTTGCCAAGGTGTCGAAAATCAGATGGGCTGGTCACGTAATGAGATTTAAAGACGACCGCTGGACTAGAGCTGTTACCGACTGGATTCCACGGGATGTCAAAAGACCGCGTGGCCGCCCATGTACCAGATGGTCAGACTTCTTCGTCAAGATCATGAATGATCAGTTTGAGGCCCTTCATGTTCCCAGAGCGAACAGATGCCATTGGGCTACACTAGCACACGACAGGGACAAATGGAGACGTTACT